GTGGGCAAGCGAGCAAATGACGTATGGTAAAAGCTCTCGGTGAAGGTGATGGCGTACGGTGACCTGCTCCCAAAGCATGCTGCTCTCGTGCTCCTGGATGGACTCACCTCCAAGCGTATGACTTCAACACTGAGCTCCCCTCCTTTACCATAATGCCTTGGGTGAAACAGTTACCTCAACTCGGGCTGGAGAGCAAGTATTTCACAGGGCAAGTTTCCTCTGGGGAACATTCTTGCCTTTTGTGTCATCAGGACGTGCCCCTGCTCAGAGGGAAGGAGGAGCTCCTCCACGATCAAGCTATCATCTCATCCATCGCATCGAATCCATCTGGACGAGCCCTTCCCTAATTGGGGCAGCAGTGATCTGAAACACCTTCTCCATGAATGACCTTGCTCTTGCCTTCTCGCTGCCGCGCCTCTCCATGCAGCACCTCGCCATCCCGGCGGCAGCGGCTGAGCCCGTCCTCCTCCCACTGGATCAACCAGCCTTGTCTTTGCTCGCTCACTTGCTTGACTTGCCCTCAAAACAGAAAGCTGTAGGAAATGTGTCAGAAATGAATTAAATCGTAGGGAGAATGAGTTGACTGGTTGTTAAATAAAAAACCCATATTGCTTACACATGGTCTGCATGTGTCTCATAAAATCATAGAATTGTTTAGGTTGGAGAAGACCTTGAAGATCATCGAGCCCAACCGTTAACCTAACACAGCCAAGTCCGCCACTACACCATGGCCTTAAGTGCTGCCTCAGGGATGGTGCCCCCCCCCCTCCCCGGGCCAGCCTGTTCCAATGATTGACAACCCTTTCAGTGAAGAAATTTTTCCTGATATCCAATTTAAACCTTCCCTTGCACAACTTCAGACCATCTCTTCTCATCCTGTCACCTGCTATTTGGGAAAAGAGACTGACCCCCACCTTGCTACAACCTCCTTTCAGGCAGTTGCAGAGAGCAAGAAGGTCTCCCCTCAGCCTCCCTTTCTCCAGGCTAAACAACCCCAGTTCCCTCAGCTGCTCCTCCTAAGACTTGTGCTCTGGACCCTTCACCAGCTTCGCTGCCCTTCTCTGGACACGCTCCAGCACCTCCATGTCTTTCTTGCAGTGAGGTGACCAAAAGCTGAACACAGTATTGGAGGTGTGGCCTCACCAGTGATGAGAACAGGGAGACAATCACTGCCCTGGTCCTGCTGGCCACGCTATTTCTGCTACAAGCCAGGGTGCTATTGGCCTTCTTGACTTTACCAATAGCCTGGATGAGGGGATTGAGTGCACCCTCAGTAAGTTTGCAGGTGACACCAAGTTGGGCAGGAGTGTTGATCTGCTGGAGGGTAGGAAGGCTCTACAGAAGGATCTGGACAGGCTGGATTGATGGGCTGAGGCCAACTGTATGAGGTTCCACAAGGCCGAGTGCCGGGTCCTGCTCTTGGGTCACAACAACCCCATGCAATCTTGCAATGTCACAGGCTTGGGGAAGTGGCTGGAAAGCTGCCTGGCAGAAAAGGACCTGGGGGTAGTGGTCAACAGCTGCCTCCATTCACACACAGCCTCCCTGCGCAGCCAGAAGAAGGACTGAACTGATGCTTTTGGAGAGGCCCTCAGCATGTTGTGTTTTGGGGGCTGAAGATGGCTGATGAAGCAATTAGGGCTGAGTTTTAAGTTGAGGAGAGCTGCTGGAGGTGTTTGGGTGCCTGGGTACAATAGGAATACAAGGAAACAGCACGCTGATGAAGATGGAAAGGAGCTACAGAGCAGAGGCAGGAGGACTCTCATATTCCCAGAGCTGGAGAATCTCTGGGATGAGCCTTGGACCAAAGAGGATTTTGGGCGGCTGGAAGGAAGGTGGCTCTGGGTAAAGGACTGAGGCTATGAGGCTGGTCACTAGGAAGGGGCTGTGAGAGGACAGGGCACCAATGCTGAGATGGGGGAGCAGTGGAGACAGTAAACTGTGGGATGACAGCGAGGGGCCGCTGAGATGGGGGAGCAGTGGAGACAGTAAACAGTGGGATGAGAGCGAGGGGCTGAGCACAGAAGGGTGCTGGAGGTGCCATTTGGTGAGTGGCTGGGTGGAGGTGGTAGGAGTTGACTGAGGTAGTACCAGGTGCATGACCTCCTCAGTTGTCTCCTTCATAGTTTCCCCTCATTTCTTGTCAGAGATGAGAACGTAGGGAAGAGACGGGGTGGCCTCGGAGGTGCTCTTTGTAGGAGAGAAACATGTTGCACCCACATGTGCAACAGAGCGATGGTGCCCATGAAGAAGTGGCTGTGGCTGTCCCAGCTACAGAGGGCGAGCTACCCCTGCTGAAAACACGCTCAAGGACAAAGACCTTGTCCAGTGGTTGCTCATATCCCAAAACAGTCTCCCCTTCGAGCACGCTGAGCTCCAAAAGAAACATCTATGGACTGTTTTGGTTGGGAAAGTGGTGAAGGGAGGTTGGTGACACCAACGTGGTGTTGTGCAACTCCAATACTGCACTTTCCCTCTAAAGCACTTGGCTACTCAAGAGGCAGTGTCACCAGCATGTTTACTACAGTGAGTAGCAGTTGGCTTCTCTAGAGACTTAATAGTGAAATCCCTTTTTGCTGGTGACCAAGGGGAAAATAGTAACTGTATTTGGATGATTTAAGTGACAGACATCTTGGTTTTGGGATAGGAGAGAATGTTGCAAGGTGTTAGTAACTCCTTAGAATTCTCCATTGAACCTTGAGTAGCTCAGCTGCTACTCAAGGAAAGAACTGCTTCACAATAACTATCACCGAAGGAAATCACGAGCAAACAAGTCGATACAGGTAACCTTTTCAATTTATTTATATAAACAACCGCGTTTTAAAAACATTCTTGTCCTGCAAAAATAAAGTGAAAAACAATTCACAGAATTTCAAATAAATAAATCTCAGACATACACATTTATTATGAGCAACTCGAACCCAGCCAAACCCAGCAGGTTGGGTCACAGGTAAAAAGTGACGGTTGAAATGTGGCCGCAGAGTAGGAGCGGCAGAGCGAACGCGACTCCTTGCTGAAGCAGCGTGTAACTCAACTCGAGCGACAGGAATTCCTCTTCACCTCCCCAAAATGGCTAGATGTGGCCAGACTTGTCTCCCTTTGACTCCAAGCCAAACATTTTTCCTTGTTAACGGCAGGAGGGTGCTCTGAAGAAGTTCCAAAGATGGAGCTGGGTGACAATCGCATGTTTAACAAGCGTCCGAGGAGTTTTCACTTACTGGCATACACAGGACTGACCATCTTTAAACACAAGGTTAGGGAAGTTTTTCCCTTCTTCATGCTTCAACTGGAAAAGCAAATGCCCTTCTTTCTCCCGAAGCATTTATACCAGAGACCACCCCGAGCTGGCTGCTGGTACTGCTCATTAGAGGAGATCTTCATTCAGCTGCTGGTGCTAACAACCACAAGGTAATCAACAGAAACAGAAGTCACACTCGAATCGCACACCGCTGCCAGAGCTGTTACGATGCACAAGCCTCTACAAAAGTTTGAGAGATTCAGGTGAAATAATAAAAAAATAAAAATCAAGTCCTTTTCCACAAGTAGTCATGGAATATTGGGTAGAGGTACAGAATAGCAGGTTGCTGCTCTATTCCAGTCTGAAGTGACTTTTTCTTTTTACCTACAGTTCCCCAGCTGTTTTTATGGGAAGATCATCTTCTACATTTCCTCTCTAGAAATTAAAAAAAGATACCCTTATATACAAAGTTGGAAGTGCTGGTACAAGATCCTGCGTAACTTCTTATGTGCCCAGAGGAGACTAGATACTTTACTGCTGGATCAGGACTAACATGTCTAGGAGATTTTATGCTAGCCAGCTTTATTTAAGCTTAAGCCACTTAAAATGCCTCTGTTTATAAACTATAAACAAAACATCATCCCTCCTCCCCCCAGTAAATATAACTGGTCACCAGTATGGCGTGCGGAGGCAGGCACAAGCTACCTTCAAGCCTTGGTGCTCGGCAGTTTTGCTACATCTGCTCTGTAGTCGTTTCTCTGCCACGTGTGGTTGTTCACACAGCTTCTCAGTCCTCACTATTCCCCACCAACCTCCATGTCCTGGGGACACAAAGCTACACTACAGTCCCACGCTTAACTACAGCCATACTGTCCGTGTGTCCTTCAAGTGACCGAGATTAAAACCCTATTGTCAAGTAGAGCAGAGACCTACAGCTACGAGAAGAACACCGACACTTGGCACTAAGTTCAAGACCTCCCCAAACTGGCACAATGAAACATCTGTATCAGAGCACAAGCAGCCTGAGTCAGTCATTTCTAAGCTCGGTACCTTTTTACCATCCTCTTACACAAGCAATACTTTTGGGACATACGCTTCAACAAGTAGGATCCAAAAGGAGTGCTAGTTTCTTTAAATAGTTAAATAAAAAAAATGTATAATGCCACATGAAAGTAGACTTCCATATAAAAACAAACATAAGTTACTACACAAAGTGCCTTATTTGCAACGGGGGAGAGGTAGTATCAACAACAAACACAACGCATTTTCTGACTTGACATAAGTAAGGCTCAAGTAGACATTTTTTTTGGTAATCTTGGAGCGCTCGTACTGAATTCGTAATCTTTTCTGGCAGTTCTCATTCAGGCAAATTTTCTTGCAGTTTTAGTGCCACGGCCTGCTTTCAAGTTTAAGAAGTTGCTGAGGCAACAATTTGCTTTTGTAGTGTCAGGTGATCTACCAAGTGAAAAGACAAAAAAAAAACCCAAAAACCAAAACACCTCCACCAACACCATTTGTCAAGTATTAAAACAATGTTAAAAAAAAAAAGTTGGAACCTTTGTCCACTTTGGAATACGTAGTTCTGTTACAGAAGACTTGAAACAAGGGATTCACTGCTGTAGAGCTCACACATGGAAAATCCCTTCGTAAATGGAAGCCTTACCTGAGTAAGGCATCTAAGGCAACCCCCACAATGAAGATGCTCAAGTTTTTCTTGCTTTTTTTTTTTCTTTTTTTTTTTTAAAAAAACCCAAAAACTTTAAACCATAAATAGAATAAATTATGTCGTTAAATAAATAAATAGATGGATTGTTACAACTCAGCAGATCGCTCTTTCAGCAGCAGCGTGGGGTTGATATCTTCCATGGCTGTTTTGGAGGTACTAACATTGATCGTTGCCTCGGTGGGTTCGGGATTTAGGACGTGGAAGGCAGTGAAAGGACAGCCTTTCACGTTGTTGCAGATGAGCTTCTGTAAGGAGGCAGTGTTGATTATTTCGAAGCCCACTTTTCCACCAAAGGTGCTCGGCTTCCAGTACTCAGGGGAGCAGATGGCATTTCCCATCAGTCCTTTCAGAGAGAACGGTGCTCCTATCTCCACCATCGTCTCGCCAAAGATGGCACCTGGCCGTGGTTTTTCCACGAGGAGGCCTGGATACAGCTCCATCGCATCAATATCTCCATAAAGCTCTTCCAGTTCAGCCGCCATTTCTTTTTCTCCTGGAATTATTGATGAGTAAAAACCGTAAGTGTAAAAAAATTAATCCTGTTTTCATCACAACACTACCCCGTTCGAGTCCAGTAATGGCACTGCAGGACTCTGTCAGCCATTTTAACAAAAAGGCCCTTGTTTGTTAGAAAGGATGAACGCTGTTACCTGTAAGTTCCTCAAAGGATTTGAATGGTTTCAACATGAAGCGTTTCCTGTACTCGTTCAAGGACTGGTATCTCATTTGCCTGCTTTGGTCAATCGAAGCCTTTGCCACTTTCTGTACGGCAACAGGAACGTTTTTCCCACCAGCAACCTATTGAATAAAGACGTAAAGTAGTAAGATCATAGAATCATAGAAAGGTTTGGGTTGGAAGGGACCTTAAATACCACCTAGTTCCAACCCCCCTGCCATGGGCAGAGAAATCCTCCACTACACCAGGTTGCCCAAAGCCTCATCTAACCTGGCCTTGAACACTTCCAGGGATGGGGCAGCCACAACTTCTCTGGGCAACCTGTTCCAGTGCCTCACCACCCTCAATGTAAAAAATTTCTTCCTTATATCTAACCTAAATCTCCCCTCTTTCAGTTTAAATCCATTGCCCCTTGTCCTATCACTACACGTCCTTGAATTTCCTGTAGGACCCCTTTAAGTACTGGAAGGCTGCTATAAGATCACGCCGGAGCCTTCTCTTCTCCAGGCTGAACAGCCCTAACCCTCTGAGTCTGTATTAATAGCAGAGGTGATCCAGCCCTCGGATCATCTTTGTGACCCTCCTCTGGACTCACTCCAGTAGCTCCATGTCCTTCTTGTGTTGGGGACTCCAGAGCTGAACACAGTATTCTAGGTGGGGTCTCACGAGAGCTGAGCAGAGGGGCAGAATCACTTCCCTCAACCTGCTGGCCACAATTCTTTTTGATACAGCCCAGGATACGATTTGCTTTCTGGGCTGCCAGCGCACGGTGCCGGCTCATGTTGAGCTTCTCACCCACCAGCACTCCCAGGTCCTTTTCCTCAGGGCTGCTCTCAATCCATTGCACCCAGCCTGTACTTGTGCTTGGGATTGCCCCATAATACAAGATCTCCCAGTACGAGCCATGAGCAAGTCATGCCTTTGTGGTACAGGATTAGTTTTGGATAGCTTTATCCCACCCTCAGTTTCTGGCTTTCTTGGTTCACCAGCAACTTGAGAAAAAGTACCTACCCTGCCAGCGCTTTGCTTGGAGAAAGACTTCACCATGTGGGAAAGGCCATGCTCCAGCATGATAGAGTTGTTGTAGAGGAACTGCTGGAAAGTGTACTCCTGGTCGTGTATCTGGAAAGTGTCAGGCAGGAGCGGGTGCCAGTGGTAGAGAGTGTTGAATTCGGCTGCAATTCGGTTCTGGTATTGAAATCGCTGGTTGAACAGCAGCTCGGGATCAAACTTGAGTTTGAAGTGGTAGCCACTCAAGTGTTGCACGTAGTCCTCGATAACAATCTTGATTGTCTCTCCTGTTGGGCAATGAAATGTAAGAGAATATTGGCACTGGTTCCCTGGGAAACTTTAGGTGGCTACCCTGCTCTGAGAGGAAATAGCACTGCTGAACTGTTCTGAAAAATGCTATAGCAATCCAGATTAAAAAAAAACACTTCAACATTCTGTTATCTCTTATAGAAAATAATCCACGTAATTTTATGTGACTAACAGTAAGGGATGGAACAGTACTTAAGATCCCAAGACTTTTTGGCTGTGGTGGGGAAGTGTTTTCTACAGCCTGCTTCTCCCTCCCCGGATACGTTTCCGCGTATGTTCCCCAAAACAGCACGTATCCGTTTGCCACGTTGTGTTCAGTAGCACAACGCTCTCTAGGATAGAGGTAGGGAATAACGAAGAAAGCTGGCATCTGAAAGCAACTCTCAGCTTCTGGGCTGCTTAATACAACTGTCTTGGTTTACTGTTTCAGCCACTTTGGTTTGGGCAAGGTCTTCTCAAACTGAGTGTGCATCGCCGTTCACATAAGGTGAAATATCATTAAATAGACAATGAGGCAGGAGAGAAGTTGTGTAGAATTACATTTCACACAACTTCCTGAACTTCAGACTGAAATCGCAGCCTCTCTTTTAAAGCACACCTGAACTGACCCAACCCCAAGGGAAAAAAACCCACAAAAACCCCCACAAGATCTGAGAGCTTGAGGTCATCCAGCCTCACATGCTTTCTCTCTGAGAAACGAACCTCAGCTTCCTGCCTCTTCCCTGCTTTCAGTTCTGCTTCCCTTCGATAAGGGAATGCAGTATCACTTAGCTCAGTTTTCTTCAGTTCTGCCTTTAACACAGCTGGGAGGAAGCTGTATCTTGCTCCAGCTCCAGTGACAGGTCATGAAGGCTCAGATGCATGCCCTCACATCCCAGTTTAATTAACGGCTTTTCCTCTTACTACACATACTGCAGTCACAGCAGATAATGGGTAGAAGCATCACACTCGAGAGAAGGCTATAGTTCCATGTAGTAAGAGTGACACTCACCTATCAGTATGAGTCTAGTAGTTTGGAACAGCTGCTCGTCATCCCACTCCGGGTGCTCCTGTTTCAGGATGTCGCAGACCCGGTTGTGTTCCCTCAGCCATATCGTAGCGTACATCATCAAGCCCGGGACCAAACCGAACACCTCCTGCCCCACGGAAAACTGCAAGTGTTCAGGCACATGAGGAGGGTAGATCATCTCTGCCTGAGTGTCCTTCACAGTTGGTGGATACATTTCTCCACCAATCATCTGCCGGGGGGAGGGAGAAAGAACAAAACAAGAGCCATAAGCTACGATGCTTGTGAGTTAAGCTGTGTTGACTAGTTTTAAGGAGTATATGTCATCCAGTAAGAAGGCAGGAATTTTGAGAGAAGACATACCTGGTATTTTAGCTTTCCATCCTTTAGAAGTCTTAGTTTAAGTTGCCTCTCCAGAGTCTCTCCATAAATATGGTTCAAGTCGACCTATAAAATAAAAGCATTTGGAAGATGAAGACAGTTTTTTGCTATTTTAGGATACGTCCCACTTCTATGGATGCCAATAGTTCATCCCTTAGATGTTTACCTTTTAATTATGTTATTGTTACCTTATAAGTATCATGCACTGATATTTAAGGCGAAGCCAAATTATTCCCTGGCAACTGGAGCCACCTCTGCACAAGAGCGAGTTGTTTAATCGACTGGCAGTTTATAAGGACTCTGTTTAAAGTGTCAGCAGCTTTCTATTATGCAGACAGCTCCCTGTATATACACACGTATTTTATAGCTTTGCTTTAGACATATGGATTATATTGAAGAACCCTTTTTCCAAAGGCTGCCTGTTTTATAGGCAAAAATCCTAAATCCGAGTCTACTTTTCAAGTTCTTTTTGAACTAAGTCTCTTCAATTAGCAGTAGACAAGATACTTTACAGTGCTGGATACGGCTCTTTGCAACTACCAGAGAGTCGGAAGAAATTCTGGATACTCAATGGATCTAAGAGGCTTCAGGAGAAAACAGACTCTTGGGGTCTGTTCTGGGTCCAGTGCTGTTCAACATCTTTGTCAGCGACATGGATGACAGCATTGAGTGCACCCTCAGTAAGTTTGCCGATGACACCAAGCTGTGTGGTGCCATGCACTCACTTGAGGGAAGAGATGCCATCCAGAGGGACCTTGATAGGCTTGAGAAATGGGCCAGTGCAAACTGCATGAGCTTCAACAAGTCAAAATGCAAGGTCCTTCACCTGGGTCAGGCCAATCCTAGGCACAAATACAGACTGGGCACAGAGTGGGTTGAGAGTAGCCCTGAAGAGAAGGATTTGGGGGTGTTTATAGATGAGAAGCTCATCATGAGCCGGCAGTGCGCTCATGCGGCCCAGAAGGCCAACCGTATCCTGGGATGTATCAAGAGAAGTGTGGTCAGCAGGTCAAGAGAGGTGATTCTCCCCCTCTACTCTGCTCTTGTGAGACCCCACCTTGAATACTGCGTCCAGTTCTGGTGTCCCCACCAGAAGAAAGACAAATTTGTTGGAGCGTGTTCAGAGGAGGGCCACAAAGATGATCCAGGGGCTGGAGCACCTCTGCTATGAGGACAGGTTGCAGGGGCTGGGACTGTTCAGCCTTGAAAAGAGAAGACTTCGGGGGGACCTAATAGCTGCCTTCCAATACCTGAAGGGAACCTACAGGAAGGCTGGGGAGGGACTTTTTACAAGAGTGTCCACTGATAGGACAAGGGGAAATGGGTTTAAGTTGAAGGAGAACAGATTTAGATTAGATTTTAGGAAGAAATTCTTCAGTACGAGGGTGGTGAGACTTTGGAATAGATTGCCCAGAGAAGTTGTGGATGCTCCCTCTCTGGAGGTGTTCAAGGCCAGGCTGGACGGAGCCTTGAGTAGCCTGGTCTAGTTGAGAGGCGTCCCTGCCCATGACAGGGAGGTTGGATTAGATGATCTCTGAGGTCCCTTCCAGCCTATGCCATTCTATGATTCTATGAATAGTAAGAGTCACAGAGATGACTGTGCTGACACTTTAAACAGAACCACGTGCTTCGCACAAGCGGTTCTGACCCAGGAAGAGATGTTATCAAGTGCTGGTATTTTGCCGCAGGAGAAGGTACAGCAGGGGTAAGCCCATCCATTCCTGGCAAACGGCGTCGCACGGTACGTGCACCAGTGTTTGTGTACCCGGATAACCTGTAGAATATCACTCCAGCTGCTCAGGAGCTTCCCAGAACTAAGCGTTGCATTCAAGTTACAGAGCTATGATCGTACCCCGTGGCCAAGGCCTTTGGTGAAGCCAGGTCCTTTCTTGTGGTCCGTCTTAAAGAACTGATGAGTGAAGTGCTGGGCAAAGAATGTGAACATCACGTTTGTGCCTTGGGGGTCAGGAATAAATTTCCTCCGTAGCAAAAACTTTTCCACAATCAGCTTGGAATCCGGGAGCTCCTTCTTACCTGCAAGAGAAACAAACAGTTAGATATTCAAGACAACTATGATTATGCCATATTTAATTTTCTTCCTAACGACAAGGCTTAAGACTTTCAATATATTATTGAAGGACAGCAGCATAAAAGGGGAATTATCTGCTTTTCTATGTGCACTTTCTTGGTCTCATTAGAAGCTTCTAAACTCCCCATTTTTAGCATGTAACTCAACAATGAGAACCGGAATAGTTATCTTCTAGGTCTCTACACAGCATATCCAAAACATGGCTATTCTTAAAGTCAACTACACTGAAAAAAGGTGACAGACAAGGAGGTCTCATAGCATTTTCTAAGAGGATAAGATAAACAGAAATTCTTAGAAGTGATTATGAAGTGTCTAATTCTTACACATCTGGTTTATTCCTTACCTTTAACACCCATTGGGGTTGGGCAGTCAAGTCCTACTGGTGGAAGGCTTCTTGTGTAATAGGAAAGATTGGAATAAGCTTCCCAGTTTTTGTAACTATAATCACTATTGTAAGTTGGTGGGCTGTCAATCAAGTGTGATCTTGCTGAAAGAGGAAAAAAGTTATTTTTTTAGTCTCAAAGTAAATCAGAAGGCCAGATCTTTTCCATGTGTTTTGGCAGCAGTTGCATCGACAGATTCCACACATATCACTTACTGATATTAAATGGGATTACAGTTGCTGTATAACAGGATTGGGTCCTGGATTATCAGATGGATTCGATTATTAATGAGAGTTATTTATGTAAAGTTTATGCCAGCAAGCCCCTGAATTCTATCAGAGGCCAGCGCAAAATGCATTTCCACTTCAAAGCATGCTTCATACAAATCTGTGTCATGCAGAAATCTTGAATTTTGGTTTGAGTGTTTTTACCTTAGTGCATTTTAGCTTGCTAACTTTACATATGGATCAATCAAGTTCACTATTCTGCACTCCTTTGAGTAACCTCTGCCAGTTAGGAGGACTAGAAGAGAGAACTCGTACTTACACGTTAATACATATCTCATAATAGCATCTCGTAAGAAGGGAATGCTGTTGACAATATTCCAGGCTCCTTTGAAGTGGGTAAGGATGTAGTGGACAGTATTTGGTGAAGGTTTCAACGTTAGCCGCAGCCAGGTGAAGAACTCCGCTGTGAGCATCAACGGAAAGATTATTGTAAGTTAGCTTTTGAGAACACTCTGCAATCCTGGAGCTGAATTCTCAGATTTCATTCCCACGAAAAGAGATTTAAGATACTTACGTGTCGTACAGTTTTCCCCATAAAATCCTGTCCTTGTACAGTCACATTCGTACTGATCAAATCCTGTCGTCATGCAGACTCCTCTGTTCTGACATGGGTTGGAGCAGCAAGGGTTAGCTAGAACGAAATCAAACGCTCCGATCAGCATCGTGGAGAGCTACACAGGCATTCCCATCTCTCTAAGTGACTTTTCAAACTCAGGCAGACAATGCCCTGAAGTTTTAATGCTTATCAGGAAGACCACAGAGAGCGAGCACCCATTCACACCAGCCTTCGGGCTACTCCAGGTAACAGTTATTAACGAAAGCACAGGATTTTGTCTCTGTTTCCTGTCAGCAATAAGCCTCCTCAGAAGGGCCGGTGACACCCGAAAAGGATTATCTTACCCAGGCTAAGGGAGGCCCCACATCCTTTCCACCACACACCAAGCAGCCCAGGAATGACAAGAGAATATAGAACATTTAAAAAAAAAAAAAAATAAAATTAACTAATCCATCCCGCAGCTGAAAAGAACTCCCCACGCGTGGCTTGGATCCCGATTGCCCCGCTCCGGCGCCCGGGACTCACCTGCGTGTCCGGCGG